TAAGTGCTGAATAAAGCAGATTCATGTAATTAGGATTGCTGTACAAACTTCACTCTTGAGGATATTCATCCGTTAAGTTGAGAGAGAGAGAGAGTGAGCGCAGAACAAGAGAAAAGAGAGCCAGAACGAATGGTAATGATTATAAACTGAGAACAATTTCAAAATTATAGATAAAGATCATGAGAGTAAGGTATCGATTTAATACGAACAATATTATTGTACTTACGAGTAGTGTACAGCTCTCTATAACTATTAACTTCTCCAAGGTCGGGATCCTTAACATTAATGGCTGTAAAGATGTGAAAGAAAAGTCATATACTATTGAGAAAATAACGTTTTCAGTTATTATAAGAAGTGAAAAATCTGCACACACATTCGCACACACACGCCACACAAATATGGATATAAAATATATATGTAATATATAAATCACATAAATATCGGTGCATTACCTTTCTCGCAAAAACGTTTCCACAGAAAGTCGTACTGGCTAAAAGTATGAAGAAGTGTACAGGTTTCGCCCAGCATAGCCAGGTCATGGGGGTCACACAGTTCCATTATGCACAGGAGCAAATCCTCAGGTAAATCTATAAGACTGGGCTTGCTTGGAACTACCATGTTCTGGTTCTTCTCTGCTTTCACAGACTGCTGATTCATCTCTTCAATAGGTTTGTTTTTTTCCAAGTTGATCCGGTGTTTGTAGGCTTTACATTTCTCTAAAAGACTGAAATGTAACATATAATAAGTAGGGCTTTGCACTTTTTTGTGTTGATATGACATAAAGCATTTTAGTAAAACTTTATCTAATAATTCCAAGCTCTGTAGTCACACACACACACACACACACACACACACACACACACACACACACACACACACATACGAGCACGCGCGATGTATCAAGATTCAATTTCTTGGGAAACAGACCTAGCAAAAAAACGCTCACTCGCTGGCATGGATTGCAACATATATGCATCGTTGCAACCCTTGTAATTCAATGTGACTAACACCTGATGTAATGACCAGATATATGTTATATATCGGTTTATTTACAAAAGGATGATGATGTATTTTCATTAAAGAAATGTAATGATTGCTATCTTATATTATAAAAGGTTTTTATGGAACACAACCAAAATCATTATACTTTTTCTATTTACTTTTCTCAGTATTTGTAACGGTAATTCACCGAACAAAGATAGACAATATTAATTAATTATACATTCATTTAATGTCGTTTTAGTCATAATTAATATCATGTCAAGGAAAATATTTTAAACTCGTATTCACCCGAGGGGAGACGTGACCACGAGACGAGAATGAGGTCAAACGCGGAGACAGGCTCCATGAAGGAAGACGTTCGGAACACAGAGCGTAAGGCTCGCTGCTTATAAATGAGTATAAGACTCATTTTGCCGAATGTTACGTTTTACTATAGAAGCATAAGGCTTCTCATTGTTTAGGCAGCGAACATAAGGTTCGTTGGCCATTTAGTGAGTATAAGACTCACGAAACGAGGAACCAGTAGGAGGGTTCGGAAACCATAATTTTCGGTGAGTTGAAATAATTACCCTGGGATTTGATATTGTAATACTAAAATTATATATTAAGTGTTATGTATTTGTATGTATATGTTAATTACGCATAATATTTTTATATAATTCTATGTTTATTCTTTGATGTAATTGTAATTAACTAATTTGTAAATATTCTTATATGTTATTTCTTTGTAATTTCAGTAATCAGCATATAAACATTTGGACAAACAAAAGGATGTTTATCTGAATTCCGAAACTTTCCGACCCAGTCATCCTACGTTCCACACCTGATATTGAGAAAGGAAGAGAGAGAGAGAGAGAGAGAAGGGTAGTCATATCTATTTTCCCTTAAATGATTTAAAAGTTCATACATACATACACACGCACACACATATATTACATTACATATATTACATCACCAATCATATATATATATATATATATATATATATATATATATATATATATATATACATATATATATATATATATATATATATATATATGTGTGTGTGTGTGTGTGTGTGTGTGTGTGTGTGTGTGTGTGTGTGTGTGTGTGTGTGTGTGTGTACGTATGTATATATATATATATATATATATATATATATATATATATATATATATATATATATATATGATTACATATATATGGATACAGAAATAGAGAAAGGTGAGGAAGGTATTAGATATTACATAGGTAGGTAGGTAAATTCCTAATGCACTTAAGGAAGCCACACAGTTATTTGAACTATCAACTACGTCGTAATGTCAGATTTGTGGATTTTTTTCAGTATAAATATCTGTAGTTGATCACTTGGGTGAAAAAATTATACACCTACTCGACATCATAAAGATTTTCAACACCACAAAAGTCCACTGCAACTCACTCTGTCAAGAATCACACAATAATGATAAAAGCACTTGGGAAACCCCGAACATAGACGTCATCACATTCAAGTGATCAAATTCCACGGTTCATATAATCATATATTATTTTTTTGACTACAGGTCTTCGTATTTTCGTTATACATAGACATTACATTTGATTCCGAACTCATACCACATATATGGGATATAAAAAATGAGAATACTGCATCTCGATCAGCGTAGTCGCGAAGTATATCTGCCGTGACGTCAAGATAAAGTCAGGGGTGACATCCTTACTGCATCACAGAAAAGAATCACAATGTTATTTTCTTTAATTCATTGATAAAAGTTCAATTTCTTTGTCGTCAAATTTTCGGTTATATATATGTACATTTTTTCGTACTAAGGTGCTTGATTTCCGTAGCTTTACTTGCGGCAATTTTCTTTAAGTTAAGGGCAACGCAGATGTTTATGTGGTACTTTCCTAGGTCCATATATAAACATATATAAATATACATATATTTTCTCTTTCTTTCTTTTTACTTTTTTTTTTTTTGAGTCAAATGCCCTCTCACACACACGCTTAATAAAGGTTTATTCGTCTCTCGTTTGACAGCTGGAGAAAATGGTCCTGTGTCAGCGGGTGATATTTAAATGCATCATCGCTGCAAGAACTCTGTCATGTTTGTTCATGTGGAGACTCGGGAGGCGATAAAACGACAATATTTACATAACTGGCAACGTTTTCGTCAGCAGCTTCTTGCGGGAAATTTGAAACGTTGACAGCCGGAACACACGAGAATTTTATAATGATTTGCTTGCGCATGCGTTTTATGCGCAACCTATTAACCTTTTACTGTATAGTACATATGGGTTGTATATTAGTCATGAGTGAGATAGGTATGTACATTTGGTAGTTATATAAGAATCTCTGGGAAGAAATAAGTGTTTGTCTGTTAGATTCTGCTGATACTAACTATTATCTTCGTTATTAGTTTACTCTCGTTCGTAATTTAATCAATTGTTATTTCAGGTAATTTTCTTTTGTGGATTTAAGATTATTTTTGATCAGTATGACAACGTTCTGTTCCAATATTTATAAGTGGTCCTGAAAAATATATAATGTATTAGATTTATTTTTAATTTTTATACATGCTATCAGTATTTGTATAATGATTCCTATATCATTAACACCTAAAAAACACACTCACAGAAAAACTATGAGTTTGCAGTTTACTAAATACTGTATTTCTCGTGTTAATGTATTTCATGTTATTTCCCTGATGTACGTGATATTTTGCCTACCATTGTGTTACGTTCCGCCCCGTGTTCCACTGATGTGGTTCCCTTCTATGTTCAGTGTCCTGTCTAAGGAATGATAAGGTGGCATATACCCTGCACAAATTTACAGATTTAGTAAAAATATTTACAAACTGATTTTAGTTGCCAGTTATGTAAATATTGCTGTTTTATTGCCTCGCGAGCCTTCACGTAAACAGTCTTACGAGAGCTCTTGCAGAAGATGAATGTGCGTGTTGCAGTGATGCGTTTAAATATCACACGTTAATACAGGATCATTATTTTTCCCAGTTGTCAAAGGAGAAACGAATTAGTGTATATTGACTGAGATGCACTTCGTTTTTTTTTAAAGGAATAAATTCATTTTCTAACTTTGTATAATTTACACTTACTATTTTTGATAAATTTAGAAGCCAAAGTTCACTCATCCTTTATCTTTCTATGTTCTTTATATTTTAAGATTCAGAAGTTGGCTTGGATTACGTATTTTTCACTTTTAAAAAGAGATTCATGGACCTTACAAAGTTTCGAAAAAGTTTCCCCCTAGACATTGTGTTTCCCTCAATCTTGACAATTTTATCTTGACATTTATGACAGTAATGGAAGTATGAAAATCTGGCTCCTTGTCCGAAGCAGCAGGAACAGACATTTCTACATCATTCACAGTGTGGTGCTGTTCCCTCGGAAAAATAACACTTTGGGGGGTCCTTACTGCGCTGGTGAATGTGATGTAACTTAGAAGTATAACGCCTTTGGAAAAATTGCACACATTACCAAAGAACAAAAAAAATGTCATGGCCTCTGATGAAACATGATTATTATGGGACCTTTGGAGGTATTTGCATGACAATTACCATCATTGTTCTATCATTTCGTAAATGGTTTCATATCGTGACTGCATCACTACCATCAATTGTTTTTTTTTTTTTTTGCACAGATCTGTAGGACTGAAAAGTGTAGTTGTGTGTGCCAAAAGTTACCCAAGACAAAATGGAAACGTCACCCACACTAAATCTGACAGAATTACCTGAGGATTTACTGTTACACATAATGAGCCTGTTTAGTCCCTATGATCTTTCTAAGCTTGGTGCCACCTGTCATTTCCTCCACACTCTCAGCCAGTCTAACTCAATCTGGATAAAATTTTGTCAGAAAGGTAAGGATATTATTGGCATTTATTAGCATGTAAAAATCATTTTGATATAGAGCAAATTCAAATAGGTTATTTATAAGTAATTTCATTTCTTTTACAGTTACCAATTTAAAGAATGTTGAACTTGGAGAATTCTGTAATTA